TTTCGACTACATCACTTGCTAAGATTGGAGTTTTGCAGTGTATTCGTTTGATGCTTAGTCCGCAGTAAAAGAGTCAGAACCGTTAAGCAACATAAAATAACAGATTCACAGGGTTTGTAATCACCTAAAGCCTTCTTTTCTTTGCTCTGACAGTCTCCTTTTTGACATGTTTCCTTCCCTGCCGCCCACAGGAGATGTGTGAGCTGATTCCAAATGACCGGCAGAATCTGTCAGCCCGCACTGAGAGGAGGGACCAGCTCCTCATGGCTCTGGCCAAGCTGAAGAAGGACCACTAAGAAAGACATGAGACAAAGTCACAAAAACGTCTTAACTTCTGAATATCAATTTCAATAATTTGCGTGATTTTTCTGTTAACTATGACTTCTTCAAGAGGATTTTTAACCCCTCAAAGTTTATTAATGGTAAGTCAGCACATAGTTTTGAACAAAATCTTTGAAATGAGGCTGATGAATTGTTGAATTAGACATCTGTGCTACGTCAGCAGTAAGACTTATATCTTGAGAATGGCCAGAAAGAGATGTTCTCAAAGTGCCTGTTATGGAAGATCCTGTGACACGACTGCCAATCTTACAGAAGAACTGAGGCAGAGAATCAATTTCAAACATTTATTTTTTTAAATGACTAAACATTGGATATCTTTGTCTGTGCCTTGATATTAAGACTCATTGTGATAAAGACATTTTCAGAAGCAGTCATCTCCCCCGGTGCATCACATTGCAAAATGGTCACTGTGGTCAACCAATTCTCCCAAAAATTTGAGACCGAGTCTGTAATAATTACATTTTTATAATTTTTTATATTGACAGATCGCAGCATGTTTGATTCTGACCATGTGAGAAAATAAAAACAATGAAGTCATGCATTAGGTCTTTCTGGAGTTGTCTCCATCCGCTCCAGCAAAACAAATCGATGATGAGTGCAGCATTCCATGGTTTCTGATAATGAGTCTCGAGTGCTACAGAGAAACATTTCTGCTCCGCTCTTGTCGCAGATTTCATCTCACAGGGAAATCACCTGATCATACATGTGTGGACAACCTGTATCCAAGGAGACAAATTGCACAAAAAACACACCCAAAACAAAAACTATGTTTATACTGTAAGATATATACTGTATACTAGAGCTGAGTAAAAACATTGATTCATCAATGCATTTCAATATGTCAATTCAATTTCGATTCAGAGCATCCTGAAATCTATTATTCCCGTTGTAACGAAGCCCCACTCCTGTAGGACCACCATAATGTGATTCATGTACAGCGGCCTCACAGGAGTGAGCAACGTCTGTGACACATTTTAGAGTCAGTTTATTAACCAATACAAATAATGCACACATTATGATTTAACAAATATCAGAAAATACAGTCATTATTCGATTCGATTTGATAATGATTAATATACTTGTATGTATTATATATATAATATATACAAGTATATTAATCATTATCAAATCGAATCGTGACCCAAAGAATCCAAATCAAATTGAATTGCGAGATTCTCAACAATACCCAGCCCTACTGTACAGGTTCAGATATTAGGCTAAAGTTAGGAATCATAAAAGTGTCTATATACAGATTTATTAGATGTGCATACTGCATACAGTATACCAGTGGTTATTCCCAACTCATCTAGCCTCAGGAGCCTCCACCAATCTCGGCACAAAGTTCAGATATTTTTCGACCAATCAGATTTATTTACTGGAAAATGGTGCTGTTTGGACCTCAGGCGGTACAAAACATGTGACACAAGAAAGAAACTGATCAAACAAACATGTTTAAAAAAAACGCTTCACAGACTTTTTAACAGGTTTTTTTTAGGCGCACACCACCTCTGGGCCCCGACCCACCCGTTGAGAACCACTGAAGTATACTGAATATTTGGGTAAAACAGTGAAACAAGTGTTCCAATGGTACAAACATTTTATTTTTACATTTTAGACAAACATGACCCTGATCTATACGACTACCGAATTTAGGTTACTATTAACACATTTTTTTAAGCATAGGTCAAATTTTCATTATCACTGAACTAATGCAGCTTTTCGTTTTACTCAAAGGCAGGTACTATCTGCTGAAATTCAGTTCAAAATACTTACTTGCAAAATAACCAGAAAAGCGTTGTAAACAGTTTTACTAAGTTGTTGATAGGCTTTATTCTAAGCTGTTCCTCTTGTCAGAATGATGAGGCTTGCAGAGGAGCATAATACATTTTTTAAATTGTGTTGTTAAAGACAAACATTCATGTAAAACCATAATGTAGACGAATGAATATTCTACTCTTGAATTATTCTACTTCACACAAAGCCCTCATTTATTGTTTTTGCATGTACATTTTAGCAAGAGTTTAATAATTGCCCTTTACCTAACGTGCCATTACAACCTGTTGACCTAATGCTCCATCATTGAGGTTTAACTTTAAAGTTTATACCTCGTCCTGGAATTCCGTCTGCTGATGATGATTATAGTCATCAATCATACAGCGAGAGGAGTAGTGAGACAGAGTCAACCTCAGTAAACCTCCTCCGGGTGCCCAGCTTGGCCCCACCTTGAGCCTGGCCCCGCCCCCTTTCACTAAGATGAAAAACCTTTGAAGACTTCTCACACGCACCTTAAACACGGGGAAAGTCAGATATCATCCCCAGCGACCTGACTTCTGACCCAGAGCGGGACTCAGTGATACTCTGTTAAAAAAGGATTTATTGTTTTTTTTACCTTCATGGAAAGTTAAAGAACATATTTGGATTATCTCTACAGAGTCAGGTAAGTCTCAGCTCTTCTACCTGCAATTTAAATGAACTGGTTGCATATCGCCCTTTTTCTTTTTTTTTAATTAAGATGGATTTAAACTAAGGCAGTCAGCTTTCATTATTAAAACATATCGATTATATTATTATAATCGACAGTAATAAGATTGTTTAGGCTTGTCTGAATCACAATTAATATACACGTGACACATCATCTAAACGAGCAGTTTAATGTCGTGTAAGCGAAAATAAAAATGTATATTGGGAATGAATTACATTTTTCAATTAAAGACAAAATCCCATTGAATAATTTGTGTAAGAAAAATCTCATATTCCCTCTGATAGCCAACATCAAATGTGCAGACTACATCTTTTTAAGTCAGATGCTGAAAATCGTGTTTCTTTCCAAGGATAGCAAGAATGAAGATAAACATAAAAGATTATAAACCAAGATGGAAAAAAAAAAAAAAAAGTGGGTTTTAGTGGAAATATGTGACGCAAAATAGCTCCTTCTTTAAAGTAATGACGCGATTGAGTCTTTCCTGATCAGGCTGTTTGATCGTCTTCATCACCAAAATCACAAATCAGACTGCATGCTAAAATCATCATTCAAGTACATACTGTACATTAAAAAGTTACTTTATATAATAATACTGCATCATTGTCTAATGTTTTCTAAAGTAATTGTATAATAATCAACATAAAGATTTCATTAAGATCATTTTGATTAACCTACGTTATTGTCCCCAAAAAGGAAATTAGTGTTGGACTCCATCCTGCAGTTGCGAGAGAATTAAAAAAAATAGGTAAATAGAGATTATACAAAAACATGTTCCACATAAACGTTAAAAACATCTTCCTACAGCAGTGACATGTTGACATATTGCACGGCCCCTTGGCACTTCATCCTACACTACCTCTTATTCAGAATATTAATGGACATCGGCACAAATGAATGTTTACAGCGGTTCAGCCGGGTCTGAGGGACCCTGAATCTTCTCCCAGAGGGTAAAAGCTGAAACTCAGAGTGAAGAATGTGGGGTCGGGTCAGACACTATTTTTCTTTGCCTGTCTAACAACAGACTGTTCATAAGAGTGTTTGGAGAGATGAATGTTTATTTAACATAAGAAAGTGTAATAAAGAGTAAAATGTGATGAGTATCTGTTTTAAGACACAAGAGAAATACTGACATCAAACAAAGTTTTGGTGACTAATTGACCCAGAAACAAGTAAACACACCTATTTCATGAGTCAAGTGGAAAGTAAAGGAGAGAGTGGCTCAGAAGCTGCGAAAAAGACTCCCTCAGTCAAACACCTATTAGCAGCTTTTTAAAGCCTTCATCAAGCTAATTGTTTGTGATAGTAAGAATAATAGGGAGTGGCTCTAATTATGCAGCCAATCACATTCCCCACGTGGAATTAGGGGGAACAAAAACCAAACAAACCTGTGCAGTCAGAGGTGCTGCTTGTCAACAGGTAAGGCAGGCAACTGCTTGGGGCTCTCATACCAGTAGGGGGCCCAACCAAGGACTGACAAACTTTAAACCATCCCTAAGGGGGTCCCATCTGACAGTATACTCACTGTTGTTGCACCGATGGTTGTCGATGGTGTCGGATTATTTTGTAACATAACGGTGATGAAGGCTAGTTGGAGGGGCCTCCAGTGAATTTTGGTCAGGGCCCCAAACGGACTCTAGAATCGCCCCTGTGTGCAATAGTATCTTTTACATGTCGCCAGTATCATTGTTTTGCTGCAACAAAAAATAAAACCGATGCTGCAATCAGCATGAAAACTATTTGACATAAGCGCTTTTCAAAAAGGTTCCACTGGGGCGCTGGTATCCGTGCAGAGGCCGTACTCCTCCAAGCGGGCAGCCCGGGTTCGAGTCCGACCTGTGGCTCCTTTCCTGCACCTCATTCCCAACTCTATCTCCCCGTTTTCTGACGCTATCCACTGTCCTGTCTCTAAAATAAAGACAATAAAAGCCCAAAAATAAACTTTTAAAGCCTCGGAAAGTGATTCAAAGTCCTATTAAAGTCCATGTAATACCTTTTTTATCCAGGATATTTTCAGTCACTACAACACATTTTAAAAACTGCAGCATGCAATGTGCTAAGAAAGGGACAGGATGTGAACAGAAGGTTTGTAACGTCAGACAGTTGAGAGATGTGGATGCACCTTCATTGGCACAATTAACACTCTGCCTTGTGCCTTCTTTCCACAGGTTGTCTGAGAATCCAGAGTTCTCTTTGCCACAATGAGTTGGGGGGCGCTCTATGCCCAGCTGGGCGGCGTCAACAAGCACTCCACCAGTCTGGGAAAGATCTGGCTTTCTGTCCTTTTCATCTTCCGCATCACTATCCTGGTTCTGGCTGCCGAGAGCGTCTGGGGCGATGAGCAGTCAGACTTCACGTGCAACACACAGACGCCTGGCTGCAAAAACGTCTGCTACGACCACTTCTTCCCTGTGTCACATATCCGCTTGTGGTGCCTGCAGCTGATCTTTGTATCCACACCTGCCCTGCTGGTGGCTATGCACGTCGCCTACAGGAAACGCGGGGATAGGAGAACCATGCTGGCCAATGGCAACGAGAAGGCGACAGATTCGGACCTGGAGATGCTTAAGAGGAGACGTCTGCCGATCACAGGCCCCCTGTGGTGGACCTACACGTGCAGCTTGTTCTTCAGGCTCATCTTTGAGGGAGGGTTCATGTATGCTCTGTACTTTGTCTACGACGGTTTCCAGATGCCCCGGCTGCTAAAGTGCGAGCAGTGGCCTTGCCCCAACAAGGTGGACTGCTTCATCTCACGGCCAACTGAGAAGACCATCTTCACCATCTTCATGGTGTCCTCGTCTGCCATCTGCATGGTGCTGAACGTGGCTGAGCTGTGCTACCTCATCGCCAAGGCGCTCATGAGATGCTCCTCCAGGGCAAACCGGAGGAAACACAACTACACCAACACAGACAGCATGTCTCGAGACAATGCCCTGAACAAGAAGAACGAGACGCTGTTGTCGTCCCCTGCAGACTCTTCCACCAATAAGACGATGTGTTGAAGGACCGCCATCAGTGGTGGAGTTGCCAGAGAAGAAAAAGCACAAACAGTAGATCCAACCTTCCTAAAGTGTCAAAGTTTGTGTCTTTAGTTTAGGCTCTCAGTGTAAGAATTGTGTCATGGAAAGGGGACGATTCTGAAGTCAACTGTGAGACTGTGAGAACTTAAAATCAGCACAAAAGAGAGAAGTGAAACATGATGGGTGGCCAACCATCAGTAGGGAAATCAAAAATCACCCTTTTATTCCTACATATGGCCTCAGACTTGCCTCTAAAAGCAAAAAAAAAAAGATTCTTTGATGCAAAAATATCCAAAACTTACTTAGCGTCTGACAGCAACATTATAAATGTGGTAGTTTTCCCCCATAATAAGTGTTGCTTTGAGCGCCTGTTTCTGATCTTGTCCCAAAAAGCCGCCCGCTTGCAAAGAATGGTGTTCACACAGCGAAGCATCTTCCACACAAGTGTCACCTTACTTTTCATACGGTCGTCATTCGATAGTGTTTTGAAGTCTTAATTTATTCATCATTTGTTTGATGTTTGCTTGACTGTGTTGACCAGTCGGGTCTCGGAATGAGTCTACACTGACATCTAGTGGTCACAGAAGGAAAACCCTCTACGAGCACAAACGCCTTCCTCGAAGCCTGAAGGAGTTCTGAAGAGTTGGAGACGAGGAAAGGGGAACAAATGAAGTCATGAAAAGTGAAGCAGAAAAAACAAAAAAAGTGCCTTTTGTGATTACATTTTAGTATTTAGTTTACAACAGCGGACTTTTAATTGAAGTTTGGTTGATTTTAAAACGTTTATTGATAAAAGCAGATGAGTTTGTACGACCCTGATGTCATGATAGAGGTGACTCGCATGAAGTTGAGTTAGAGAAAATGACCCTTTGAATATCGCTAGAGTTTTTCATTTGTGTGTGTGTGTGTGTGTGTGTGTGTGTGTGTGTGTGTTTAATAACAGTACTGAGTGTTGCACAGGATGAGATAATGCTGATGAAGAAAATAACAGAACAAGTGGAATCACACCCCCAGAAGGTTTTACAGATGTCATGCCTTTAATCAAATTAGAATGTCTTTTGTATTTTACTTGAACTGAGAGTATTTGAATCATAGTGTTTTGTGTTTTTAAATCAAATGCATGAACACAGTGACAAGGTGTTGCATTATTTCACACATGCATGCTCGGTGAAGAAGAATATTGAAATGTTTGGACTTCACTTTTTATTCTTGAATCAGCAAGTGCTTTAGAAACATCCTCAATGGATGCTGTTGAATCATTGTGCATTTTCGGCTTTGATGAGTTGATCTGGATATCAACATCTTAAAAAAAGAAGCCAAATCTAATGCCTTAAGAATATTCGTAGGTCCATCTTTTTGCATTTTGTGTTGTTTTCTGCCTTTTTTTTTTTAGCCGCCTGATGCCGTTGCCAAAAGGCTGCTCTGAACCTCGTTTCAGAAACAGAATTCTAAAGGAGTACCGATCAGCCTCAGACCTGCTCTTGTGGTAGTTAGACTTGTGTTGCTGTTGCAGTGTCTGCTCAACTGGTTATATCAGCTTTTAAACAAGTGCCTTATTTTAGCCTCAACAGCAATAACACCTCTCTGAGCTGTGACTGGAAATGTCTTTGTCCTCCACACCTGCAATAAAAAGACGAGTCAGAGCAGTTACTTCTGTGTCAGTCAAATAAAACTTGACTCGTGTGAGCAGGAAATTGTGTTTAAGTGATTAGAAAACAATGTTAGAAAAGTTTGACAATCGATGAGATGTCAACATTTAAAATTTCACAAAGAAAATCTGCACGAGTTGAGCGTTAAATTCACATTACTGCCGCAGATCTGTTGCAGTTTGAAGCGTTTGGTGACATCCTTCAGTTGGCAATAACATGAAACCATGCAACGTCACAGGCAGTCTCTGTATAAAGGTTTAGAAAAATCTGTCTTTTGTTTTTCTGTCTTTTGCTTCCTGTAACAGCCAAGTAACATTTTGATACTACCTTTGTGATAGCAATGATGTGAAATTGTTTTTTTTGAAGGGACCTGCCTGATCATTCCAGTCCCTAACATGTCTCTGATTTTCTTCAACAATCTCTTAGACCGCTTTTAACAGCTAACGACTTAGTAATGAGCAGAGAGTTTGCTCAGCAAGAAATGAAGAGATGAAATGTTTTGATAATTATGTTTTGTACTGATATTTTATTACACTGGCACTTTGATCCTTGAAGTAATAATGGTCTTTGAAATTGTGTTTCATAAATCAGTAAAACGAGACGCTGTGTGGTTCATTGTTTTCTGTTCATGTGTTTGTCTTTGACTCATGATGTAAAGCTTTCCTTCAGCGTTTGGTCTGGGCAAGCAGATGGGGGAGCTCTTTTCTACTTTTTGAAGGGTCTAGAAGGTGATGCCATGAAATGAAAGTGCGATCAGAGAGCTCAGGATTATGCTAACTTTGTATTTTATAGAAATCTGTTCCTTCATAACCATGTACAGGTTTTCAAAACTCTTTCCTAGTAATGTTATCTGAGCAGAGAGTACATTTAACCTTTAGATTTAATAACCTTATAGGGTTGCAGATGGATATGGGTTATAGGTCGTGGGCCATGTACGGAGGCTGTAGTCCTCCAAGCGGGCATCCCCGGGTTCGAGTCCGACCTGAGGCTCATTTCCCGCATATCATTCCCCCTCTCTCGCGCCCTGATTTCCTTCTGTATCTGCTGTCCTATCAAATAAAGGCAAAAAGCTCAAAAAGAAATCTTAAAAAATGATGATGATCTATTCATTAGAGTTGCTCACCAGTGTTTTTTCCTTCCTATACACGAAAGAATAAAACGATCTTCTCTCCACACCGCTCGGCACACAGGCACACCTAGTGCTCGGTGGTATAACATGACTGTTTTATACTAGGCATCATGTAAAATAGTGTTATTCTGGAAATTGATGGTTTAGTATAATCACAATGATTCATTCAGTAAAATACATGCACACATATGAATCATAGGTTGAAAAATTGCTGAGTTTGGCTGATTTAATTTAACCAAAATGGTACCAAATGGACCAGTCGGCTCTTATGACTAACCTGAGTAAAATGATCCGGATCACTTACAAGAGACGGAAGTCCCATCACTACTGGAAATGCCTCTGGTGCAGCCTAAGAAGAGTATCAGATATAAGCAACTATTCTTAGTCCACATCAAAAAATTAACTTGTTTCACCTGAAATAAATTCCTCTTCAATGTTGAAAAACAGTAGCACACAAAGAAAGTTTGGTTGTCCTGCCAACCCTGGAGAAAAGAGTGAGTTGTTACTGACATCTAGTGGTTTCTGAGAGTAACCATCAGAGAAAACCAGCGCACACTGCTCACACTTGAAGAGGGAGTCCAAGCACAAACAAAAGTTCCAAAAGACAAGTTTATCTCCAGTGGGAACAAAGTTGTAATGCAGAGGTATGAATTTAACTATCTTCAATTATAAATAAAAGTACAAACAATAGTGTTTCAAAGGTGAAAAACCTAAGAAAGACAAACTAAACTCCTTCAGCTCCTTGCCTGCATGCATCCACCTGCAGCTTTGAAGGCCCTCCAACCCATCAAGCTAAAACAGGTGCAGAGGAAATCCAGGCCTTGACCTCTTCAAATGCACGTGTACACAGCGGTGACAACTCAAAATTGACTTTTGAACTGGGAGAGTTTGTAAGATCTCTCATGCATGAGTTTTTGATGGCTGGAGGGGGTAACTGATCAAAAGCAAGGACCTCAGATCTCACAGGATCGACTTACTTATCCAACTTAGCCACACTTATCTATGTGAACCCGATGGAAGTATCGGGATGTGATGAGGAGTGGACTTACGGAGAAGCTGACAGCGAAAGAGAGGAGATCAAATTTGAAATGTGACACCAGCAGAATGATTGGTCGATAAAAGGATGTGGTCGAATCTGGTTGGTCAAGTACTTAAAGAGTAAACGACCCCAAACAGCTGATGACTTGAGCAGGAAGACAGAGGGAGAGACATGAATGAATGAATGAGTGTGGAACAGTCTTCCTGCTTGAACTTATATGCTGGGCTTCATTCATCAATTTGTATAAATACAGGTCTGAATGAGGCAACTGCCTGAGCACACGAGGATACTTTCAAAGGACCCTTCAGAAGAACACATTCATGTAAAAGATTTGGCTACCTTTAGATTGATCCTTACACAAAATCGTCAACCAAATGTTGACTAGGTCGAACTTCTGCCACGTCAAGGTCATGATGACTAAAGAGAGCGTAAGAGGAGTGTCTGAAAACAAGCACGAGAAAGGAAGTATCAGTTTACTGAGCTGCGTCTTCCTCGACTCGGCACATGACCGAGCAACAGGTCAAATATACCGACACACGAGGAGTTATAAAGGGGCAGCCCCGTCCTCTGTTACCTCTTCAGCAGGAAATGATGAAGGGTATCAGTCTTCCACAGGAGGCTAACCCTGCCAATGGCCGACCCTCCCCAGTGGAGTTAAGCGTTTCTGTGGATTGAAATAGCACAGTTGTGACTTTCTTACGGTCAGGGGGAAGTGAAAACCGAAATTACAAAGTGAAAAAAAAAAAAAAAAAAGTCAGACAAATGTACTTTTTTGAAAGCCGTTTTTAAATGGTATAAAACAAAATAACAAAAGTAAAACTATTTTACCGAGGACAAAACAAATGTACAATTTAAGAAAACAAATTCATAGATGGGGAAACACTTTTGCGAGTCGCTGAGACGAAATTTAAAAGTGGCAGAACACTTTTACCAGTCCCAAATGAAATATGCAAACAACAGAATCTTGCTGGAAAGGGGAAAATGCTGATAGTGATCTGGCAATGATTGAGCGAGTGGTCGACTAGTTTGTTTCGGCGGAGAGACTGCGGTAACTGTCTCAGGATGGGTTCTATAAAACAGACTCAACATCAAACAGTTTAAAGATTTTTGCAGGTTTTTTCACAGACTTACATGCTTCTTACAATTGGCTAAAATGAATATATAATAAATCTTAACGCAGATATATCTTCACATTTTGCATTGAACCGCTTTTTGCTGCCTGGTGTCGTCGTGTTTACCTTCCAAGAGATCATTTCAAAAAGCAGGATTGTCAAGTCAGACGGACAGAGATTCAAATGAGTCTCCTCGCAGGAACCATCTGACTTGTTCTCCGACAAAGTCAAGAAAAGAAAAACAGAGATTCAAATGAGTCTCCTCGCAGGAACCATCTGACTTGTTCTCCGACAAAGTCAAGAAAAGAAAAAAAAAAAAAAGGATTTGTGTTGAACCCTCTTCAACTTGTGCTGTTGTTGCAGTGTGTGCTGACCCCAGCTGGTTGTATCAGCTTTCAGCATGTGCCTTATTTTAGCCAGCACACTAATCACGACTCGCCCTCTCAATGTAAGGAACCACGGACTATCTCTGTGTGAAAATGTCTTTGTCCTCCCTCCCTCCCTCCAGGAATAGCCGAGTTGGATTAGTCACATACTGTATGTGTTGTAAAATTAAACTCACCTAATGTGAACATGCTGGCACAGCGATGTGGTGATCACAACAGAGAGGAAAGAGGGGGGGGGGGGGGGTGGATGTGTTACAGGTTGGACAATCATGTAGATGTGTTCAAATCTGGATTAGTGGTTTGCTGGACATGACATAACTGATTCATCTGCTGCAGTTCTGTCACAGCAAGAAGTGTAACGATGACACTCCTCAGTTTGACTAAAAATTAAATCACCCATTCTCACAAACATAGAAGTGTGCACCTCTCCGTCTGAAGATTTAACAAGCACATATTAATGACTTTTCTTTTCTGTTGTGTTTCTGCTTTGCATTAACACTTTATATTTGCTTTCTACAACAGCTGAATGACATGTTAATGTTGTATTTCCGATAGCAGCACTTTACAATGGACACCACTTTTAAAGATTCTGCATGATAAATCATAACTCCCATCCTGAAATGTTTTGTTTTTAAGCATCTTTCTTTGCAGACTTTATCTTTCATCTTTCTTTACATGAAAAAAAAAAAACCTGATCCCCACAGGATTAACCTGGTTAAATAAAGGTTTTATTTTTTGTATTTAACCAGGTAATTAACCTATTGAGATCAATATCTCTTTCACAAGGGTGACCTGGCCAAGACGGCAGCAGCATTAAAGGCTAAATAAATCAAATAAATACAAAAATTAAATTAAAAAATTCATACAGAAGTCTTTTAATAGCAAAAAAGAATCAAGAATTGAACAGTGGTGGTTGTGTTTTGTGCCTCGGAAGTTGTTTCTACACTTGTACTTTGACCCCTTAAGCCTTTTTGTTCCCTGGGATTTTTTCCATAAATCAGTAGGCTAATAATCCCTTTTAATTTCTAGATGATGCCCTCATTTCTGCAAGTCTGCTCAGAAGTATGCTCATTTATTTATTTTTCCTTGATTTTATTCCACCTGGTCTCAGAATGAGTCACTCATCTGGTTTGAACAGAGAGGTGTTTATGGCGTCACGTCATAATGGAGCCCTATAATTTAAAAGAAAAGCTATTTCTGTTTCTGTCTAACTTTTTGTTCGTGAATTCTTAAGGATTTTGTGTTTGGAAATTAGTTCAGCTGGTTTTTTTTTATGTCACACACTGGAGGACACCTCACCTCACGTTCAGGTTCTGGATTTAAAAAAAAAAAAACATCTCCGGAAGTTTTGGAAACACTTCTGGACACATTCTCATCAACTTTTTTTTTGTTGCGCACAGTTTGGACAGTTTTTTTTTTTTTTTTTTTTTTTTTTTTGGGGAGGTTGGCAGGGGCGTGGTGTGACTGCGGACAGCCTGATGACTCTGTGGATTCACTCATGCATGGTCACACAATGTGACAGTCCAGACATGGCTGTAAACGGGAGGCAGCTCCGTTTGACCGAGCCTCATCTCCGACTCCAAGCCGCCTCCACAAACTAACAACAACAAAGGAAAACTTTTCCTTGCACAAATAGGTTAACGGGCCCGGCACAGCAGGACAGACCACAGGCCCGGGGACGTTTGTGCATAATTTATGAGTTTATGGTTAAAAAAGAAAAGTTTGTTGATCTGTCATAGAGGCGACAGGTTGCGAGTTTTACATCAGGGAGACAGAAGGGAGGGTCGCTGCAGCCTGCGGGAGGTCTACACGCTTTCAACGCACTCTGATGATGGCAACAAGGAGGGCTGATGGATTTACTTTTCGTGTTTAAGTATTAGTCTCTGGAGTAAAGGTATGACGGATGGTCTTAACACTGCTGTGAATATGTCCTATTCCTTAAATCAGATCAGAGAAATAACAAATGAAACCATGAATGACGTATAATCAGGTAATTAAGAGGTGTTTTATTTGAACTTTACAAGAGTGAAACAAAAGCCTGACAAAGCTTGTGGCGCTTAAAGGGAGTCTGCGGACTCTGGCACAGTCTGTATTGTCACCTCTGAAGTAATGGCTTTGTATTTCAACCTGGCTCTGTCTGTTACTCTCGACATAAATGCCACAAATACCTGTGAAGCTGAGGGACTTTCTTTTTTTTTTTTTTTAAATTTGCCACCAACATTACGTCATTCCACTACAGATAAAGTGAAACAGAAGCCTTTCATTGGTTTTACGTTTTAATATCATATTTGTTATATCAGGAATTTCACATGCAAAGTTTATCAAATCAAACTGTTTGAGATTTCAGACTTATATATCCTCAGTTATCAGCAGTCAAAATATTTAAATGTTATACCTGTGCAATCTGAACGGACTATTCAGATGTTAACTGGTTAAAATATGCACAGATGTTTCTGTTTGATTCCCAGTTTTGATCTGCTAACTGTTTGATTTATAGTCTTAAAATCAGACAAGAGTTTTTACTTGACTTGTGTTTTTCTTTTCCAGGTGTCATACATATTGTGAACCCTAGTCGATGGATTTATTACCTTTAATACAAGAATATTTTAGTAAGTTGCCCCCCACCCCTACTGTGTGTTTGTGTTAAATTTGTGAAGCTTGTTGGGCATTTTAAACATTAAAATAAAGTCTAAAAGTTGTAAAGGGCAACAACAGCTATAACTTTATGACATTCCTCTAATCATCCATGTCATTCGAGGACAGAGGCATCAGAACTCAGTCTAACAATAGAAACTTTTGCTTAAACCTGAAGTGAGCTGTTAATATGGCACGTCCAAACGCAGTGTTGAAATGTTGCATTGTGCAGATCCCTTTGGTTTCAGCTATTCAAGTGTGGAAATGTGCCCGTTTTCTTTTTAACTTCCACAGATCTTTTTAGAATATATTTGGGATTTCAACCATTTTTTTGGACAATTATTATTGGATGAGCCCTGCAGAGTTTTAAACGTTATTTCAAATAGCCTAATGGTTAATTATGAGACAAACATGTGAATCAATCAGAGGAAAAAAATGAAGATAAATGAAAATTGAGTATTATTCTATTTTATCTTTTCAACTAGAAACTTAAAAGCAGCCTAATCCTTAAATATCACAAAAAAATTTTCCACATTTATTACATTACTGTAACATTTTTCAATTAGATTCCTGTGGGGCGTTTTAATTTTACAGTTGACAGAGAGAGAGAAAGAGAGAGAGAGAGAGAGAGAGAGAGAGAGAAGGGAGAGAGAGAACAGTGGGGTGGCGTGTATGTGTGTATGTCAGTATTTTGTTCCCTGTGTGTGTGTGTGTGTGTGTGTGTGTGTGTGTGTGTGTGTGTGTGTGTGTGTGTGTGTGTGTGTGTGTGTGTGTGTGTGTGTGTGTGTGTGTGTCTGTGTGTGTGTGTGTGTGCCACACCAGAGCCCCATCTCTGCTAAATGCTGTTTTGAACATTATATTGTTGATCTCAGCAAATGCCTGCTGGGCAGTGGAGCGAGCAGGTGAGAGCGAGAGACAGGCCTAACACAGAGAGAGAGAGAGAGAGAGAGAGAGAGAGAAAGGGAATGTGAACCAGGGTTCAGTGAAACAGGTGGTGTATACTGTATACAAAAAAAAAGCAAGTGTCTATGTTTAGAGCGAATTCTGTGTTGCGATTTGGAATCGAAATCCGATCCAATGAAAGTGCTTGTTTTCTGTAAAGTTTTGTTAAGCGGTTTTATGTAAAAGAGAAATGCGTCCGAAACTAGTCCGCATGTGTTTTAGCGTCCGTGTCTGTGCGTCTCATTGTGTGTCGTTATGATTCAAATGTTTAACCCAGACTAAGGCCTCTGATAGGCTTTGCAATGAAAATGTCCGACCAGTTTTTAAGTATGTCTTTACAGCTCCATGAAAATTTCAATTTGATTGACTTTCTCTCACTTGTGTTTCTCCTCTTTTTCTTTTCCCCCAATCCTCATTCCTGCGTCACCTCTAGCCTGTACTTTCTCCATAGGCTAGAAATCTTGAAGCATGGGCGACTGGAGCTTTCTGGGGCGGCTGTTGGAGAACGCTCAGGAGCACTCAACAGTCATCGGCAAAGTCTGGCTGACTGTCCTCTTCATCTTCAGGATACTGGTGCTGGGGGCCGCGGCTGAGGAGGTCTGGGGAGATGAGCAGTCTGACTTCACCTGTAATACCCAGCAGCCTGGTTGTGAGAATGTCTGCTACGACGAGGCCTTCCCCATCTCGCACATCCGTTTTTGGGTGCTGCAGATCATCTTCGTGTCCACGCCGACCCTCATCTACCTGGGCCATGTGCTACACATTGTCCGCATGGAGGAGAAGCGGAAAGAAAAGGAGGAGGAATTGCGAAAAGCAAACAGGCTCCAAGAGGAGAAAGAACTCCTTTATAGAAATGGTGGAGGAGGAGGCAAGAAGGAGAAGCCGCCTATCAGGGACGAGCATGGCAAAATCCGTATCAGAGGCGCATTGCTGCGTACTTATGTGTTCAACATTATTTTCAAGACCCTGTTTGAAGTGGGATTCATTTTGGGCCAGTATTTCCTTTATGGCTTCCAGCTGAGGCCCCTGTACAAGTGTGCACGTTGGCCATGCCCCAACACTGTTGACTGCTTCATATCGAGGCCCACTGAAAAGACTATTTTTATCATATTTATGCTTGTGGTGGCTTGCGTGTCTCTTTTGCTGAATTTGTTAGAGATCTATCACCTTGGTGGAAGAAAGTTAAACAGGGCATGACGAATGAGTTTGCCCCAGAACGCGGGTCGCTACGCCGCGTCGACATTGCAGAACCTGAGTGTTTGGCCCCAGCTTCCAGAACTGCCCCATCCAGCCTTAGCTACCCTCCCAACTACACAGACGTGACGGCGGGCAGCAGAGCATTCCTGCCGCCGATTGGGCCAGCGGCTGTGCCCTCAGCAGCAGAGTTTAAGATGGAGGACCTCCAGCAGGAGCAGTCCCTCCATCAGCCCTCTCCCTCTTCCCACTATTACATCAGCAACAACAACAACCACAGGCTGGCCACACAGCAGAACTGGGCTAACCTGGCTACCGAGCAGCAGACTCGTGAGATGAAGGCCACCTCCCCATCTCCATCATCCTCTTCCACAACCAGCACCAACAAAGAGCAGCAGCAGCAGCAGCAGCAGCAGCAACAGCAGCCTGTCGATGCTGAACTTCTACTTCCAACCACCAACAGTCATACCAACACAACCGCCACTGCCGCATCCAGCAGCAGCAGCCCTGGCACAGCCTCCAACAGAGGCAGCTGGAATGGGGGGAAGAGTGAGCAAGAGGAAGGTAATGTCACCACCACCACAGTGGAGATGCACGTGCCGCCGGTAACGGTCAGCACAGACCCTCGACGGCTCAGTCGGGCCAGCAAGAGCAGCAGCATCAGGGCAAGGCCGACTGACCTGGCGGTCTAAATCCCTTCAGCCCTGTAATGTCCCCTAATCCCTCCCTGACCACCAAACCGCCTTACCTAAACCCACCCACCAAACAAAGTGATTCTCAGACAAAAAAATCACAAACTTGCATAATGCAACAAAAAACATTAAAAAAAATTAACAAAATGAAAAAAAAAGAAAAAAAGAAAAAGAAAGAAGGCAAGTACACAGTAGACAGGAAATCTAAATCGAAGAAAACACTAAGGGAAACGTGAAATGACTTCATCAGCAGCTGCTGTTGATTTGGTGCAATCGGTGAGTTGAAAAGTAGTCGAAGCATGGTTGTTGTTTTCTTTTCGGATGGTCTTAATCTATGCAAACAAAATGTGATCATGCAGAGCTGTAAAGTCAGGAGGCTCTGGAAAAATGATGGACAAAGCAAAGAACATTGCGACGCCATGTTTCTGCATAAAAAAGGACACATTTCACCGACATGTTTGGTTTACAGGAGGATCTCACGGTGTTTCTCTACTTTTTTTTTTCTTCTTTGTGTTAAAACCAAAGGACTTACTTTTGTGAATATTTATGCTACTTTTGTCAAAACTCACAGTTAGCTTGAATTGATAGACAGATTAATTATTTGACGTGTAGGCAGAAATTTCACTCACATTTCTTGTTTATCATTCACACACAGCGTTTAACTCCACATGTCTGAAAACCTGTTTCATGGTATGTCTTTTTAACCTGGAACTTTTTTTTTTTTTTTGCTGCAGCACTTCCTGAACAATCTCCCGTATATTATCCAGGAAGTCATCTGTTTTGTGTCTCTTGTACAGTAGTTGAAGTATTCGAAGCCCTACAACTCACTGATTGACTGATACATTTGCACGGCAGAAGTTGACTACCTTGTTTCCTCTAAGATCCCTGCAGCGCTTTCTAAAAAGACAGAAAATAATTAAATTGAGATGGAATGATTCGATATCCCTAGAGTCCTCGGAAAAGCAAACAAACATGGATGCAGTCAGCACAGGAGAGGGGTCAAAGCTGCTGGTGAAAGTCATCCATCCCTATGTTGCGCAGAACCCGTCTGGGATGTCAAAAACATAGAAAGCAAAGCATTCCTGTTACGCTGGAGGACACAAAAAGCTCTTATCCCTGCCTGTGTTCGCGTTGCCTTCAGTTAGCACGTCTGAAAAAAGGAAATGCTCTCCGCTAACTTCAGCATCAACGCTTTCAAAAAGCTTCAAAAAATTACACAAATACAACCACCATCGGAGATAAAGAATAACAACGTTCTGCTCATCTTCAAACTAAAAAACTACCAATGCTCTTTGGTTAGTCTTGAAATTTCTTCTCTTTTTTTTTTTTTTTAGGTAGATAGTTGGCAGATGTTTTTTGCCCTCGAACCCCCGACCCCCTTTTTATTTCTTAACACCTAGTGATTGAGAGCGACTTTGGGAGTTAGATGAATTTCACTGTTACACACTTCATGTGCTTCTTCATTGGTTTTATTCTGAAAAGTGCTATTTTTTTAAAAACTGAATTGAATTTTTCTCATAAATTGCATATTTGTAGTCAGTTTGTGATTGCGAGAAACGGCGACATTAGAAAATGACTGGCGTTCCTAAGTATATATATAAAAAAAAAGAAAACGCCATGGTGCGGTCGAACCCTTGACGGCTTCCATTTTGTTGTGTACATCTTGATTCTTAGAGATCTATAGAAACCCAAACTTTGAACTGAATTCATCAGCAACTGCGTTCCTCTGTCTCTGTTGTGTTCCTGTGCGGTTTGGTTCATTCACAACCAGGCACTTAATCTTTATTTTTTTAATTTCTTTTCTTTTGATCTTCAACCTTAATCCAATGTATTCTCCTGTCAACTCACCCCTGGAGTAGAGTTTCAACCTCGACAGTAACTGTGTGAGAGCTCAAAAATCTGCTTTGTGTCTTTAACCCTCGCCGGCCATCCCAACAAGACTAGATGCCATTATTTTTGTGAACAGTATTTTGTAGTAAGAAGACTTTTTCCAGCAGATGACACACAGGCCAATACACTGGAGTAAGAGCATTGTAAAGTGGTATCAGCTTTTTTTTTTTTTGTTCTTTTATTTATTTATTTATTTTTTTTGGTGGGCTTACAAAATAATGGTACTGTAAAAATGTAAGAGTATCTACACCCATAATGGTTGGAACGTTTCATACTGTAGCCCATTTCAGTTGCATTGACACGTTTAGTGCTACAAGACGGAGAGGAGAACAGACATCTTCACAATGCATGGGTTAAAGCAGCCTTCCCTACTCCACGTCTTCTTGTTCAAAAAGACAAAGAAATCTTTGTTTTCTGCATTTGTTTTTGATCCCTAAAGTTTACATTTTGGTAGTTGATAAAGATTTGCACATTAAGGAAAGAAAATTGCTGTTTTACGATGCTAATATTGGTAGTAATAGAGAGAAAGCGAGAGAGAAAGTGTGAGAGAGAGAGAGAGCAAGAGAGTGAGTGAGATGTTAAAACTGCCAATCTTTATGATCCTCAAAGGAAAAAAAAAATGTCTTAAAAGTAAAATCTCAGTGGCTCTTCCAAAAATGAAATAAAAGGCAGTATTATTATATATCAAAAAGCTTATGTTGATTTCAAGCTCAGATAACGATGAGTTTGAGGATTTAAAAAAACAGCTAAAGAGAGAGAGAGAAAAAAACAGTTGCGGTACTTTTTTTCTGTGTGTTTACTCGGTATGTTCTCACAGACTGGTCCGGACTCTGGTCAGACTCATATCAGACGAGTCCACTGTTGAGAGAATGTAAGCTGGGTAGCTGGCCCTTCCCTAACCCAATACAAAGCCCTGACAGGATGTTGTGTTCAAAGCCCGTCATTCCTGTGACTCCTCCGATCTCTCTCCTCTTACGTTTCATGCAGAGCATGAATTCTCTGGCTTGTCAGGGAGTAGGAACCATCTCACAATGCTCAGAACAGCAACCTGTCTTCAATGCTGTCTTAAACAAGAGAAGTGCCTTGTGTATGAATGATTCTTTTGTAAAAACAAGTTGATGTAAATGTTCATTTACCTCAAATGTTTACAAAACTGTTACTAAATAAATTTTTGTACCATATCCCTGCTATTTCTTTTGTTCATTTTCATCCATGAAATCAGTGAAATGCATCAACTCTACATACAGTACATCAACATGTAGAGCTTCAGACTCAAGACGACTTTGCTTGACCTTGTTCTCGACCTTAGTCCTAGATGCACTACTCTTAGTGTTTATAGAAAAAAAATAGGCTTTTAGAAATAACAGATAGAAATAAGAGATAATAAGATGATTTAATTTATTTCAGCCTAAATAACATCTACTGTACGTCTTGACCTGGAAACCTCAACATTAGCTAATAAATATTATTTGGGCTATCTTGAAGGACATACAGCTTCAGTTTCTTTTTGCATATGATAGCTTTTTAACATTCCCTCGGACCCGAGTTGAAATAGGCTCCTCCTCATACCAAGTAGTTAAAAGGACATGTATTTGCTGTTAGCTGAAAAGTTTGAAAAGATCTCAGGAGTTCCTCACTCCCTTCACTCAGGGATCTACACGTCTTCTTTTAGAGTTTCCTGCTATATTTGGACATACCGATCTATATATCTTATCCCAACATCTTAATACGGTCTTAAACACAACCATAGCCTAGCGGTTATGCTGCGCCACGCCCCAATGTACAGAGGCTATAGTCCCCATGGGTTCAAATCCAACCTCAGCCCTTTGCTGCTCTCAGCCCCCAATCTCTCGTCCCAACATGCCCTGTCTCTCTTCAGCTGTCCTGTCCAATAGAGGCAAAAATGTCACCAAAAAAAATCTTTAAAAACACAACCATCAGCCAACAAGGCAACCTCTGCGATATGCCGGTTTCACTCAAGCCAACTTGGAAAGAGGACGTTCATTTGCATAAAAAAAACGATCATTTGAGGCATGGAAGAGGGATTTAACCCCTCGACCTTTGGTTTCCAAGACCAACACGTCACACCACACGACCACTCCAACATGTCTTTCAGTCGGACCTATTTATTTGATAAGTCCAGCTGAGTTATTTTTTAAACTAATGAGATTCTGGGATGATCTAACATCTAAATTGTCTTGGAGATAACGTTGTTCTTTTTAATCGTACAAACGGTTTGAGATCAAGTGTTTGTCTGACTCCACTAATGAAGATGTATAATCACATGGTTCTTTTATCGGCTGGTTAGCTTCCAGGATCTTTGCCCATCCTCGGAGGTACATTATTAATTTGACTTTTTAATTCAAACACTAAACACTCAGACTTAACATCTTATGTATGAGCCTACTTAAGTTACTTATTGACTCTGTTAACGGTTCTCTCCCATGTCTTTGTCTTTTTCATTAGAGGATGTGTTTGTTGTATTTGTCAGCATGTATCTCTTGTTACTGCCGGCTTCCTGTGTGTACTTGAGGCCGTGCGCCACCCACATCAGGATCAGGAGAGCTAATAAGTGTCTTTTGCATCGCTCTCTTTGTAGACTCTCTGACCTCCAACCTCACACACTCACTCCCTCACTCTGCCGCATTCCAACACTGAATGTCAGAATGTGACGCCAAGTCAGACACAACCCCACACACACACACACACACACACACACACACACACACACACACACACACACACACACACACACACACACACACACACACACACACACACACACACACACACACACACACACACACACACACACACACACACACACAGGGAGAACCCCTTCAAAACTACATCAAAAAGTAATTAAAATAAGAGTGGCATGTCAGTGGTGTGACAGTGTTGCACCTGAGAGTCAAACATTTATCACTCAGGCTGCTCCAGTGCAAGATTGAGGCAATATTTTGGTCAAAACACAACGTTTACAGCTACCGGGAAGATTTGTTGAGATCTTTGGGCAGAGTGGGCATCAATATATGAATAAGTGTACTACTTATACGTTTTTGACCCATTGTAAATGAATATTTATTTTACTAAATACGCTGATTGGATTT